ATATACATACGAACGGCGAAAGGGGGGGACCCCTAGCATGCATTATCTAGATTGATTTGTTATTAATCGCGTATTAACTTATTTTACGAGGGTTTTTGGAGTTGGTTGATCTATGGCAATTAGTTTAGGGCTGGTAGGGCTGAGTATTTTAAAATATTTGTTCTGAGAGAGCTTAACGGGCCCCAGTTGGCTCTTGGCCCAAGGTTTGGGTCACGGGCTGCGCCGCTGTGCAACCTGTGCAACTGCGGGGGATGACGTGGTTGTTGATGAATGCATCCATTTGAAGCTGGGTGGTTGATGAATGATGCGCAAGTGATAGCTGGCGCTTTTGAAAGGGGTTGGCTTTATATATATATATCGATTCAGCAGCTGGAAAGAAAGTAAGATTTTCTACCGGCTCAGATGTATTGTTTAGACGTATGCCTTCACATATCATGGTCCGAAAGTCGAGATAGCTAACCGAAGCCCATACGAGGTTTTTTTTCTGTAAGTATGGTATGAGAGACCTGTTTGATTTCGTGTTTCGGGACTGTTTGGTACAGAACTTCTCTGTATTTGCATCATACCACATTTGAAGAAAAAATAGAACTTATATTTAAGGAAATAATTTTAATTTACTACATGTTTAGCCGAAGGAAATCAGTTGAAATGGATTTAGGGAATGCTATTCGCAGCACTTGGAGAGTGAACTGATGCTCTTCGTTTATCTGAACAGAAATTAAGAGCCGATCGATACACTTGTCTCATCGCGTATTGTAGACTGACCTTCAATAAACACATGACAATACTGTACAGAGATGTACAGTATTACTATAAATTTCACACATAAAATTCAGGTCACCAACTCTGTATTAATATAACGTCAGTGCGCTGTGGAGTAGTCTAGTATATCCATGGGAGGTTTGGTGGATCTTCTGATGGCAGAAAGATCCCGGATCTAGTTATGTGGGTACTATTGTACAATGAATGATAACGTAAAGAATAGTTAAGTATACTGAGCGCAAAAGGAGTAACCGGGACGGTTGGAGCAGTTTTATTCTATGATTTGCCGGCGTGCAGGGAGCGTTTGTGTAGAGACGCATATTCTCGGACATTCTCAACCCCCAGAGTCGGGTCGAATATCATAGGAGAGGTTCCATTTTCCCTTTTTTTTTTTTTTTTTTTTTTTTTTTTTTTTTCCGCGCCTAGTTGTTCAAGCAAAATGCTGCCCCATCCAAGAGGAGAAGAGAAAGTGAACTTTGGAATGAGTATTGTCTAGTCATACACTCAATAGATTGATATAATCTCCAGAGAGATTTACGGTCTGGGACTGCCGGATCTACAGAGAAGGATAGGTTACTTATATTGAACATATACATTAACAGCATCTAGATGGGTATATAACTAAAGTGCACAGCAATATTTCCCGCCTCTCCTCCGCGCTTGCAACATCCCCGCCCCGTTACACAGTTTCGATGTACCTTTTAACTTCCCTACACGTGAGTGTCCCCGACTACGATTAGCTTTCTAGTACACGGCAGCGGTAAAGGGATCACAGAACGAAAAAGAACAGAAAAGAGGAAGAGAAAACTCACCAATCTGTTACAGCCTCCTCCCACAAGCGAATCTCATGCTCTCTCGTTCCCCCAAAATGGTCTACAAATGCATCCCCAAACACCTCCCTCGCCACACTGCCCTCTCGCATGAAAGCAGCCACTGCTTCCTTGAGAGTTTTCGCCAACCGTATTCCCTGGTCTGTTGAGCCGCCTACATCCTCACCCTTAGACAGCGGCGGAACAGGTAAGGCAAGCTTCTTTACCACTCCCCTCCATCCCAGCTCCAGAATCGCGGCGAGGACGTAATGCGGGTTCGCGTCTGCGCCGGGGACCCGTACCTCCAGACGGGTTGCCTTGGGCTTCGATGTTGGCGGCGTGATGACACGGATGGATGCTGCTCGGTGCTCTAGACCCCATGAAACGGTGACGGGGGCCCAGAAGTTTTCGACTAGACGCTTGTAGGAATTTATGGTTGGGGCGAAGATGGGCATGACATCGGGAAGTCCATCGAGGATACCGGCGAGGAAGTGCCTTCCAACGTCGGAGAGGTAGGCCACATCTGGATATGGGGGTGATGGATCGGGCGTTTCACGGCTAAATATATTCTCCCCTGTCTTTGAAACAATGGAGAAATGCATGTGTCCACTGTTTCCCGGTATTCCTTCTCGTGGTTTAGCCATGAAAACTGGCGTGATCCCGTACTTGCTGCCGATAGATTTCACGACGTATCTAGGAATTTTTGGAGTATTAGTGACATCGGCCGTAACCTTCCACGTAGGTCTCTCTAGGTATATGATAAAATCTCTGAAACTAGAACGGGATTGCAGCATTTGAGGCTCACTTGAATAATCCAGCCCGATCAGCTATTTCCTTGATTTCACCAAACTCAAGGGCCTGTTGAAGGTTAGGTGCCGTAAACAAGAAGGGAACACGTTCACTGTAAACATACGGCTTCAAAGACTCCCGGGCCACTTTCAGTATGCCAGCTTTCGACGTCACACTTGAAGGCCTGACACATGTTGAAAATTCCATAGAAATACTCCTGATTATGCACGGTCCTTGTAAGACTATAACCGAACATTCCTTCTGTCAATGGTTGGAGCGCAGTGACAGGGTTCTCCTTGAGAAACGCTGCGGTTGCTGAGGAGTTTCGTTCGACACCCCCAGGGGAGGCCGACGGAGCGCGATATTGGTGAAATTCATATTCCGCTACGAAGGACTAAATTAGCAGCGTGAATCATTTCTGCTGGTAGATAATCAACGTGCAAAAGACACACCGCCAGCCATGGCTCTATAGCCCAGTTTCTCTATTTTCTCAGCAGCTGTCCTCAGTAACCCTCGTGGGCAAGCCGATATTGGAGCGTGAGTATCGGGGTCGAAAAAGCTAACTAGAAAGAACGGCACATTATCTTCCCATGGTATTCTTCGGAAACTGCTCAGATCCGGAACTGCTACCATATCCCTGTATCCGTTCTCCTTGTTGCTAATTCCCAGGTTTTTGAAATATGTCTGGTCATGCATGTCCCACCCAAATATAACAGAGCAGAATCCGAATCCACTTTGCGCGACTGAGAGAAACTTCTTCTTTGACACGAGCTTGCCGCGAAGGATGCCATCTGCATCGATTCCGGCGAGTTTCACCCGCGTATCCCGTTCCAAAACCGCAGGAAGATTCTCTAAAGTGACTTCTGTTTCCATCGGCATCTTGCTCGACGACTCGGATGGACGAAGGCGGCAAAAAGGGCGCACGGAGAACGGGATTGCTGGATTAGAGAATTTTTATTTTTTTTTTTAGCAGCTAAATGCCTAATAATGGGGGTATTGGGGGTATACAACACAGCAACAGCGATTCTTCTGTCGGCCTGGGGGAAGCACAAACGAGGTCTACTCCGCTCCGGAATCACGGAATCGCAAGGTCAGCCAGGTCATCCACCGCTTGTTACGTGGGATATGCTTTAAATAAGTTATCCGGGTCGGCTTCCAAGCGGTTAACTAGTTACAACAAGGTTACCGGGAATGAGGTAAACTTTGTGGGGCCCTTGGGGGTCTGCCGTGGCGTGGCGTAGCGTAGCAGTCGCGTAGAGCACACACACACACACACACACAACCAACAGCCCTGTTTTTTCCCTTCACCGGGATCGAACCACCGAACGGACGTCGCCAAAACGTTCTCAGCCGCAATCGGCAAGCCACCTGGGACATCATGTGATCTGCCCTCATTAAGGTTTCAGGCACCACATGTGCCCAACCGCTTTTGTCCTAGCCGCATCTCAACTCCGGAGCTTGGTGTCTTACTAATCCACAAAAAAACTAAAAATAAAAAAATGAGCACTCGCTCTGATGGCGCAGATCGCCTCGAGGATTCTTCGAAGGGATCCATAATAAGGGAATTGAGGGAATCTCTGAGAATCCAATCTCTGGGTGAGACTTTTCATTCCTGCTCTTTTGGTTTATCAGTACCCGGAGGCAAGTGGCTGCAGCAGGATCCATGCTGAAATTCAGGGATTGAGTCACCTCTAGACATTGAACCGTCACTTTTTCACATTCGCGAATCGCCCTGTAGTCTTTATTTGGTTTCTCTGGTTACAAGAAATCTCTGCCATCATGGGACGACTTGAAGGGAAAAATGCCATCATTACTGGTGCTGCGGGGTATGACTCTTTTAAGTCCAGAAGATTAGATGATAATTGTTTCACAAAAAAAAAAAAAAAAAAAAAAAAAAAAAAAAAAAAAAAAACCTGCTAAAAATGAGAATGAATATAGTGGCATCGGTCTAGAGACCTGCATCCTTTTCGCTCGTGAAGGTGCCTCCGTTTTGATGGCTGACATTTCGGAGTCTGCACTCGAAAGGGCCCTTGCCAAGGTAAAGCTCGTCGTCCCCAACGCCGTCAGACTCGAAACTATCAAGTGTGACGTCTCTAAGGAGGCCGATGTCAAAGCCATGGTCGAAGCGCAGGATTCCTGGGGCGGATGTGACGTCATATTCAACAATGCAGGCATAATGCATGAAGACGATGCGGATGCAATCGGAACCCCCGAGCATATTTGGGACATGACTCAGAATATCAATGTGAAGGGAGTATGGTATGGATCTAAACATGCAATTCTTAGCCTGCGCAGACACAAGAAGATAAAAGGCAGCATCATCAATACGGCTAGTGTTGTGGCTTTGACGGGAAGCGCAGTTCCCCAGTTGGCATATACGGCAAGCAAAGGGGCAGTTCTTGCCATGACGAGGGAGCTGGCAATTGTCCATGGCCGCGAGGGATTTAGATTCAATTCTCTCTGCCCTGCGCCTTTAAAGTAGAATCCTTCCCCTCCCCCTTTCTTTCTTTACGTATTTATCATTCCTCTTTTCGAAAAGAGGCGTCCAGGCTAACAGCATACACCTCCAGCACCCCTCTCCTGCAGGACTGGCTGGGTAATGACGTCGCTAAGCGCCAAAGGCGCGAGATCCATTTCCCCACGGGCCGTTTTGGTGAAGCTGTAGAACAGGCTCAGGCCGTTCTTTTCTTGGCTAGTGACGAGAGCAGTTTCGTCAACGGGACCGATTTCGTTGTTGATGGTGGAATGACCAAGGTTCGTCAAACCCCCAGCGCATGCACAAGGTCTTGGGGACCCTGACGAAATTTTCATCTAACATTGTTCCATCATCACACAGGCATATGTTACCGCAGAAGGGCCGCCAACAGAAGCACCGAAAAACTTTGCGAGCTAATTAGCTGTTAGGGCTGGGTTTCCATTTGACACGGAGTTAGACAAAATATACATTATTTATCTAACGCTATATTCATTAGACGCTTAGAGTATGCTAATAAGTTTTCATGAATTTATATGTTATCAGCCATGAGTCAAGAAATCTAGAGGGGCTGAGTAATGTCATCAATAGCGTTCAGGCAAATAGTTCAATACTTACTAGTTTCTTTGCTGTTTCTGAGCTTGTTTCATATTTTCATCAAGGTATAAGTAGGTGCTATGCAAGCCTCACTGAATATATTCTGATAGCAAGGGCAAAGCAGCCTAAAAGGCTGTATGATGCTGAAATGAAATATTGGCAGCCTGTCATATGCAGATCTGGTGTCACACCCGGTAGCGAACTAATATAACAATTAGACTGCCCCGTTTTCTTGCACACAATGATATAACTGTGCAGATATAGTCACAAAATTACCATTTCTCTCTCTACTACATTGTTCTATCAAGGGAAGAAAAAAATGTTATTCCTTGGTAAAAAAAAATCTCAGTATGTCACATTGCACATATTGGATCTACGAAAGGAGGAGAAACAGCAAGAAAGAACTTGCTGAACAAAAACTAAAAGGAAGAACTATGTAAAAGCATAACGCCTACTAGCTATGTGTGGACCATCGAGCTTAAAGGTATAAGAAAGCAAACGAAAAATAAAGCATGAAGATAAAAAACAAAAATCACTCCTGCGAAAGGCAGAAAGATGAGAACTCGAGAACTGAAGAATAATTTGCCTTCGAAAAATTTCCATCACCATACCTGCGACTGCCCATTTGCTTCTGTATTGCACCTTGAAAAGAGAGACACTGAAAGCATGTTGCAGATAAATAACAGCATAACAAATGGTAACATAAAAATATAGAGAGAAAACATGCAGGCAACTCTAGATAGAGATGTTGATCCGAATTAAGCGAGATGTATTATTGGTGGTATTTGACCCACTGGATTCCCCGGAAAGCAACATCCACCTTGAGACAACAAGTGGAAAGATGTTAAGTGTCAGCCAATTGCAGAGAGGGTGAGAAATTAGGCGCCAGGGACCACTCCTATTTTCTGGAGATTAAGTGGGAACAAAAGGAAACGGGTTATTCGTTATCCCTATCACAATAATGGAGAAGGGGAGAAAAGGGAGATTCTGGACAGTTCCATCACACCAACCACATGGAAATTTCTCCAAACTCATCTTGCCTATCCGGATAGCGGATGCCATCTTCCTGTCGTACGCACAATGCGCCCCTCGTAGCCAGCATGAGAGTATGAAGGAATGCCTGTGTAGCGATGACGTGACTGTTGTCTGTCGGTGGAAGTAAGGAGGAAAATGTAATCTCAACCACATCTGCATCATCAGGGTCCCCATCCGCGGCAGCAATGACAGTATCTGCCTTCACTCTCTCACTTTCTTCCATAATCTTGGTTCTGACAAAGTCTAGGAAATTCACACTCTCCTGATCCAGAGTAGCAGCAGGCCACTGAGTCTCAGCTGCCATTTGCGTATCAAAAGAACCGTGATGTTGGCTCCTTCGAAGACCAAGAGGGCTACCACCACCTTCCTCAACTACGGAATGATCAAGAACCAGATTGCTGTCTAGATTAGACAAATCGAACTCCTCATCGTCTGATATTGGAATATCGCTCATGCCTGGTCTGGCTATTCCACGGCCGGCGAGGGGACTGGCGCTCGTTATGCGCCCCATGCGTCTTCCAAACACTGCAGAAGACCCACCAACGGCGCTCCCATCTGGAACCCCACCACTGGCAATGGAACGAGGACCACCAATGCTGGAGAACCCACCTACACTGAGGAGGAATTGGCGAGAGTGAACGGAGGAACCTGGCTGGGAACCTCTGATGGAAGCGGTAATATTCCATGGCATATGTGAAGAGCCATCATCGTAGAGAGGCACGGGTGCGTGACGGCCTACTTCAATGTCTTGGAGCTAGAGAATTTTGGAAAGGGCTTGTTAGTGACCTAGAAAGATTTAGGTGCTCGGGAGATTATATGACATACATCAAACCCGATGCCATAGCCATCGTCATGCTCAATGACGCCTCCGCGGCCGATTTCATTATCTTCGTCTTCTCTCATACGCACACTCCTAACCTCGTATTCGGAATCATTGCCACCAACGTCTTCACGGCTACGTTTACGACTTGTGCGATTCTTGTTTCCAGTCAAAGTGGCCAACATCTGCTCTCCTGAGAATATGCCCAGTGGATGTTTGAAGTCGGAAACACCGAAACCGAAGTCAACAGAACCAAATCTTTCACCCATTACCCAGAGCCCAGCATTTCTCTTTGCCAGTGTATTGATTTTATTGTTCTGTTTGAGCTTTGCTGCAAGAGCCATGTTACGCGCGTACTCAGAGTTCCACTGGGCGAGATCTGAATTCTTCAGTTCTGGAGGATCGTCAAATCCCAGAATTTTGTTTCTTCTTTTCCTTAGGCGTTGCTGTACTTCAGCAGCTTCGGGCGATACCCCAATCACTGGTTCGTAGCTAGGATCTGCTGCGGAATCAAATCCTGAATCAGGGTCTCCAGAGCGCAGATTATCATTCCCTGCATACCTCATTTCCACATCATTGTGAAGAACCATCTGGTCCTCAAACTGTAGTGGGAAACCATTAATGATTTATCCTTTTCAAGCTTGATGATAGGAAAACTCACCTGATCTTGAAGAGTTTGGAAATCTTCCTCAACCTCTGGCCTCACTCTAGTATTCGTTCTAGTCTCACTTCTCGCAGAGAGCCCTGTAGGTTTTTTCTGCGTAGTTTGCCTCACTGGTAGTTCAATTATATTTCCCTCACCGTCAAATTCGAAATCTGGTTGGAGCAAAACACCAGTCTCTTCTGCGAAGACTGCGGGCAGCTCAAACTCGTTTTCCTTCGTACCTATACTGCCTATGTCACTTGGTAATCCAAAGGCACCTGCACCAAGGCCGCTTATATCTGACGAGGAGATGTTCAAATGAAGTTGACCATCTGAAAAGTGGCTAGACTTGTTTGACTCAGAAATTTTGCTTGATAGCAAACTGGACTTGCGAGGGGATCCGATGTTCGAGGTAATATCGAGAGCAGACAAATCCACGTTTAGCCCTGGGAGCATTAGAAAAGGGATGAAGGAAGGGTCGTCTGGGATAATTAGCTGGTCCGGCCTATTGAGATAATTTAGCAGTTTGTTTATACGTACATGTACACGTCTATATTGCTGCTCAGTCAGGGTAATGCGGTGGGCATGAAGCCAACATTGGGGGAATTTCCGGAATAAGGGTGAGGAACTATACTTTGCCTTCCCAGCATCAGGATCCAATCCTGAGGAACGTATTTCTTTCAACATCGCTCTCATCTTATCCCTCATTGTTTGCGCGTCTATAAGCGCGTATCCGCATTGCTGATTATACACCCTCGAAACACCATATCTGCAAGCCAGAGGCCCAGTAATTTAGCAAAAAGTCTCCCCTGACAACAACGATCAAATCAAGGGGGTTTCTACATCCCTTTTACTCACAGTAAGTTGCCCTGTAGCCTCAAGGCCATTGGGGCCTCGGGGCGTATGATTGTTTCACACGCCTTGGGAACATCGACATCGAGAATGGCCTTGCGATTCACCTTTTTGGTGGTGGATTTTGCACCAAGAGTCGCAACAAGCCTGGTACAAGCATAGCCGCGATCCAGTTTTTAGACTTCAGATCAAAGAAAGGGTAACGAAATCAAAAAGGAATAGGAAAGTACGGGGCGACAAGCAACATGACAGCTTCAACACCTACCACACCGTCGCAACCCCATGCTCGCGGGACGTGAGAACTGCGCGCCAACCACATGAATATCAGCTATATATCGCCATGCTTCTTGTAAGGTGTGGTATTTCATTGAATGAAATATATGGACATTTCACCCCCTTATTCGGCCCCAGTTGGCCGGAGGGTTGTTTCCAACCCAGCACTAGGGGCTTAAATTGACACGTTTAAAAACCCAACATTGATGTAGGGGGAAGAAGCTCACTCTCATGACTGTAGAACATGTTGCCATTCACCAACCAGACGGCGCGTCTTACCGCCTTTACTAAGGAGTACACTTCGAGAAAACCGGTCCGCCCCTAAAACTGGTTGATAGACCTTAGCAATAACGGCTAAAAATGCGACGCGAACGTTTCCCGTTCTCTATTTCTCCTCTCATTTGCTGGCCACTGGGAGGGGTCTGTAGCATATAACAACAAAGCACGATAAGGGGGTAAACGCGATTGTAGATGGTGGGTACATAAATGACATAAGCACAAGGGGGGGGGGGGGGATGTAAAATGCAACGCAAGGTTAAGGATCAAAGGGAGTGTTTCCGTTAAGTCGAAATAAATAGATGGTGAAGATGGGAAGTGGGAGAAGAGCTATGGAATGGGGAGAGCATGTGAGACGCGCAACACCCGCGCCCAAAAAGGGGGGAGACAACCCAAGAGGCGGAAAGGAGTCACGGGATCACAGGATGAAGAGCAATGGGAGCGGAGATATCTGTTTTGGCTTCATTTCCCCCTTTTCTTCATATTCTCGGCTCTATAGGTGTCACGAGGGGTAGGTATATAGATGGAGATTGAAAACGTTAATAGATTTATGTCTGCCTCCGCAAGCCATGTGAATACGATTCACCAACAACACCAAGGAGCTATATTCGGGGGAACGACTGGAAGAAATGGGCAAGGGAGCTCCCATAAGTTCAATAACTCAAATCTTGCCTTGGGAATGACCATTTCACAAGCTACAGAGCCATCGAGAGGTAAAAGGACAGAAGCCAGGAAACAGAGAGAAAAATATTAGCAGCATAGCTGTGGATATTTTGTATACCTGGAAGCAGAAATACTTGTAGCAACTTGGATATAATAGCAGAAAAGTGATGTCTCTTTCAATATGAATGTAACGGGGTAGGCCCGTAATCAGGGTAAGAAACTGATCGGATAATGCGTTAAGCACTGGTATACCCCTTTCTCCCTCTTCGCGGCCTCATTTATTTACGGCTGGTATCAGAAATAAATGGACGGAAACGGACCAAGCAGAACAAATACTGATGGATGGGAGAATAGCATCACCAAAAGCGCCTATCCGTGTGGGGACGACGCATGAAAATGAAAAAGATCAAGAAAGAAGAAAGATCAAGCTCCCGAGGAAGAGGAATTCTAAAACCAAAGAAAGGAAAATAGCAGAATCGCAAGCATACAAAAATGACATGGCACCCGGCAACAAAAAAAAGAAAAAGAAAAGAAAGAAAGAAAGAAAAGAAAAGAAAAACACAGATTGGGGTTGGGTATGTGCGGGAAATCTACACAGGTTTAGTACTCCAAAAGATACAAGACAGCTAGAAAGAAAGGAATGACAGATAGTAGTCATGGCACCTAGTATAAAGAAGTAATTCAACAAGCACAAAGCAATTGATTCTAGAAATAAGCTGAATCTGTGCAAATATTGTAACATGGATATCTTTTTTTGTTCAAAACTATTGCCGTTACTTTAAGGTTGAGTGTCGCAGAACCCTTTACTCCAATGGGATGCCTTCGTATTCCGAATATCCAAGAGCGAGATTCATATTTTCTAATCGGAAACAGTTAGCACAGTGGTGAAGGGGACGTCACCGGGTTCATGAAGAAATAAATAACTGGGAATAGCTTACGAAGACATTGAGTCGCTGCCCCCTTGAGTAGATTATCAATGGTGGCGCAGACAACCACTCTCTTGCCTCCGGAGTGGACTGCAAAGCCTCCAACCTCAACCCCGTGACGACCAGCAATATTCTTGACGAGCGGAGCTTCGCCAACAACTTTGACAAGCTTCTCACCGGCATATCTATCCTGATACAAGTTGCGGATATCACGAGACGACATCATCTCCTTCAAAAGAATGTTAATTGTGTGCTTGTACCAGATGAAAATCGTTAGCTTATCTAGACAAGTGTAAGAGGGATGGGGAACATATAGATAGAATTAAAAACATACATGGATCCCTTGGAACCAAGACGCCACATGTGGGATAAACGCAACTTCTACGCCAAGCTGTGTACTAATCTCCCTTTCATGAATATGATCCGTCAAGCTATACGGTATGAGATTGTTGGTAAGGTGTTTGACATCATTTTTTGGGCTTGGCTTCGTCCCGGCTCCCGAGTAGCCTGAAACACCAAATACGGTAGGTCGTCCATCAAGATACGGAACGAGCGGTGCGATTCCTACTTGGGCAGCAGTGGCGTAGCAGCCAGGGTTGGAAATGCGAAGGGCTTTAGCGATGGAGGCACGGCTGACCAGCTCGGGTAAACCGTAGGTCCACTTATCGTCGAATCGATAGTCCGCACTAAGGTCGACGATAACGGCTTGATCCTGATCGACTTGGTCGACAGCATCGACGAAGGGCTTGCAAACGCCATTGGGTAGAGCCATAACCCAGCAATCTACGTCGCCATTCTCAGCCATGCGGCGAACGTCATCGGCGCTGAGGTTCTCGTAGATGATCTCCCTTTTGTTGTAGCCTTGTAATTTTTGGCCCGCGAGTTCGCGGGAAGATACGTGACGAAGATGCATATGTGGGTGCTTGTTCATAAGATTGACGAGAGCTTGTCCGGTATATCCACGTGCTCCAATCAGGGCTACGTTGGAAGGTTTGCTGTTGGAAACGTTCTTGTCACCAAAAGGGGGGTTTGGGTTGGTGGTGGTGTATGATCGAGAAGACTGGTAGTTTCCGCCGCCAAATTGGCGGCGTCTTTGGGCACTGGGAATACTAGAGGTGGCTGAGGTTGAAAAGGTTCGCTTTTGCTGGACGCCAGAGCCAGGGGTACCAGCAGTGCTCGAAGCAGCCAGTGCGGTACGCTGGAACTCTGACTCCAAGGCATTCCCTCCAAGCATGTCGGTTCCATGCTTGCCGAATTCGACGATGAGATCCTTGATTTCGTCACCGCTTTCAAGGCCGCTCCAGAAGAGGACTCGACCCTCCCGGCTCAAGCTACCTTGGGCTTTGTCAAAGAACCACGTCAGATTTTCGTCCTCCTCATTAACTGTCCAGACGAGCTTGGGAAAGTCTTTCTGCATGCTGGCAAAGACATTGTCTGCAACTTGCCTCAGCCATCCCGCTTTGGTAATGCTGAGGGTCGTCAGTTGAGCAATCGACGATCCATCTTGGGGAGGCAAAACCACGGCAAGAGCCTCCATAGGCTCGTCCAGGTAGGCCTTGAAGGGGCGGTTCTTCAATGACTCAACGTATCTGTCAACAGTCGCTTTCGCATCCAGCCCCTCACGGTCACGGACGAGTGCGTTCTTTAGCAGCTCAATGTCTTCAAATTCATCAAGCGAAGATTTGATATGAACCTTATTGCCCCTTCGGATCAAAGTTCCCGCTCCCGTATCCGTAAATAATTCCTTCTGTAGATCTGCAGGGTGGATGATAGCCACGCTGGACGTTCGAGGAAGGTCCGTAAGCAACTCCTTCATTTCCTTAATTTTTAGTCTGGTGCCATGACGCACCCACCACTGCTTCATTAAATGGTCATATTCCTCGTCCAGGTTAATGGCAGATATCTTCTCCCCCGTATCACCATTAAACAGCCCTCCTTTCTCCGCAAGGTAGACAATCTTCAAAGGCTGCAATGCCCTCGCAAGTTCACCGGCAGCCACATCAGCGTTGACGTTCAGAATTTGACCCTCGGGCGTCTCAGCCATAGAGGTCAAGATGGGAAGACATCCAGCACTAATCGCAGCTTCAATGGGAGCCTTGTTGACACCATTAATCTTACCAACCAGGTTATACTTTTTCTTGTCAAGGTAGTCCGCCGAAAACACACCCGTCGTAATCGGCCTAGCCCTTACACCAAGACTCTCCAGCTCCTCTACCAACTTCAGATTCTCCTCCAGGAAAAGTGACCTTGCAAGCGCCAGAGTCTTTCCATCCGTAACTCTGATCCCATCTTCAAATTGAGGTTCCACACCGGCAGCTTCAAGCATCTTATTCAACTGTGGCCCAGCGCCGTGGACAACAATCGGATAGAGGCCGACATGGTTGAGGAATGCAAGAGCAGAGGATAAGGTCTGCAAATGCTCTGTAATAATAGCCCCGCCAACCTTGATGACGGCAAACTGCTGCGAGGAGACGGAGGTGAAGTGCGAGAGGTACTGTTGGACCTCCCGCTTGGAGCCAATGTTGCTCAACAGCTGGACGACAGTGGAGCGGGTAGAGAGATGCGGAGGTGGTTGAGGAGAGTAATGGCGTCTTTCAAGTTGAGAGAAGGATACGGGGAGCCAGGCTGACGCAACACCTATACATGCGGGGGTGAGTCGTCTGGTGGTCGCTGAGGATAGGAGTTGTCTAGCAGACCGGAAAATGAAGGAGTGTGCCAGAGTTCCCGACGCACCGAGCCGGAGTGATATCATCTTGTTGACGAACATGCGGCAGCTTTCAGGAATGAGGCGATACCAGCCACGTCACTACCAATTATTGCTTGTCGGAATAGCTCGTATATATATATACCCTGTTTGCTTTAATTGGGGGGCGGGGGAGGGGAAGGGGGGGGTTGTTGGTGTTTGGGTACTGTGGAGGGCAAATTTTGAACTGTGGAAGAGGAAATATGGCTGGGCGTAGTGGGCCGCGCCGCTCCTTGAGCTTCGGCTCTTCACAGCAAGCCTGCAGCTCGAGCGGGAAGAAAAAGCAAAAAGAAATTAAAAAGAAAATAAAAAAAAAAAAGGAAGCGCGCGCAATATTTCTTCAGCTGAAAAATTAGAAAATGTTCAGTTCGTGCTCCTAATATTTTGGGGGGTTTTGTCTTCC